GTGGAATCAGCGCAATGTCGGTAAATGATCAATGTCGTTTGTGCCATGAAAATGTGCGGATAAAAGGCAACATTGTGCACACTTCTCCACTACGTCACATCCAGGAAACACCCGCCCTGCGTCCTGATTGGCCAGACCATAAATTTGGTTGGGGAAATCACTTTCAATGAGCGGTTTCCCAGATGTATGTGAGTGGAGCTAGGCGGAGCTAGACATGCATCTGGCTGTTGTCAGCTAAGGTTGGGCCATATATGGGGCATAAGTTACAGGTATGTTATCAGATCATTGACATTAGGTGTAAGTTACTCATAAGTCGTGGTGTCTAGCTTATCCAAACGCTATGAGTTACTTGTGCATAACTTAAGCGCAACTTATCAAGAACTTATCTCCAACGCATATCAACATATTAGACGTATTCCAGATGACCGTTGAATGTGTTTCTAACTTACAGCTACTGTTTAATGGCGTATTGGCAACATTTTGGTATAAAAGGAGGTTCACAGGAGGAAACCGTCAGTTATCCTCCAGATTTCATCCGCGTCATAGGGTTAGCCAGAAGGTGAGTGTGATGGATCCTCCCTGCATTCACGCTCACCACCAACAAACTTCCTTGCAGACCTGATGCTGAATCTGCTGCGACTGCAAACCTTCTTTCTTTTTATTTATTGTTTTTTTTTTTGGGAGGGGGGTAAACAGCAGCCAGATTAATAGCACCATCAAAGACATCTTTTTATGCAGACCGGGCGCCTCTGGGTGCCTGAGAGGAGCAGCTTTAACTGATGCTTCTTAATGCCCATTAAATGATGCACAAACATCATTTCATGGGCATTACACTGCCGTGCGTAATGCATAAGTAAGGACATACGTTCTCGTTATGAATACTCTATGTATACATCCAAAATTTAAGAAATACATAGAAATGTCAGCGTATGCCAGAGTTTTAGGAGATTCTGGGAAGTCTGGCATATGTTGGCTAAACCGACAAGGTGTGACAGGGGCCTCAACAAGAAGTCTAATTGAGTGCAGTTGTCTTATTGCACTGGCAGTAGTATTTCAATGTAAAAAATAATAATAATTTGAGCTTGATTAACAATTGCAAGGCTTTTTTTGCAGTTTTCTGGATATTTTTGATTTATTTCTAATCAAAATAGACACTAAGTTAAATGTGAGCTTTTTTTTCTGCTGGTCCTTCAGTTTCTGAAGCCTTATAGCCACTTATGAAAGAACATCACATCGACTGCAGTATAAATCAAAACCTGGAAGAGCTGAACAACAGGCGAGAGTAAAAGTCAGATCCTTATTCTATTGAGGACTTAAATCTTCAAGGACATTAATTCAGAGGAAAGAAAGAAAAGGAAACTCTTCCCACACGGATACAGCAGCCCACACACGGAGAGGAAACGGACAGAGTGAAGGCCAGAGTCTAATGCAGCACAGAGCAGGGCTAGACGGGCACAATTATCAGACACTGACTTCAGCTTAAAAGGCTTTCAGAGGAATCTCTTTACTCAAACACGGAATGTGTCAAAAGCTGCAAGGAGGCAGGAAAATGAAACTTCGAACTATCCTCCACCTATTGCATGAATAAAATGGCAGAATAAATAGTGTTTAAACATCAGTCTTTGCCTTGTGATAATAGTGAGAAGCAGATCAATGCTTTAAAAGCAAAAGGTGGTCAAAAGCAACCAGGAATCCTATGGCAACACCTCCAGACTTTGCAAGAAGCCACTGTGTGGTTTCATCCAGCACAGCAGAACTGAGTGTGGGGGAGTGATTTTAGACAGAGGCACAAATAAACAGAGAGAAAGACAATGTAGTGCACATGAGTATGTTCACAGAGGGGGTGTTTAAGGAAAAAAAAAATCCTCCTAGGCCACAATTAACCCAGACACAAAAGAAGGTAGCTATGCTGCAAACATGCGGCTCGTTGGCACGGGTTTCCATGCAAACGTTTTCAAAATGTAGGCCACTGGCACACAGTCAAAACAGAAACGCTGCAGTTCTCCTTTTTACGCACAACACAAGACATCTAGGATACAGGGCAAGTGGACAGTAATCCGTCTCTCAGCTGAACCGCTTTATTTTTGTTTAGAGATGATGATGACGGAGAGAGTTTCTATTCAATCAACTTAACTGCTCTGTTCTGAAGGAAAGAAATCAGCCTGTTAACACTCAGTCTGAGCTGTGGCGTTCTCACACCAATCCTATTATCACTGGTTTTCATATGCATTTGATTCAAAGGTAAAAATGTGAAAAGAGCTTGATTGATTAAAACTACTAAAAGGCAACCAACCTTAAAAATGCCACTAAGAAAACATCAACTGGGGAACTTTGCCTCATTTACAAAAAAAGGAGAATAAACATCTTCATCTAGAGTAAGTCAGATACACTGCTTTACTATTTACCTCTAAAAAAGAAAAAAACAATTCAACAAAAAGGCTTTAGATGTCATGTAACAGGGATATAAAATCCGCCTGAGTAGAAATAAATCTCTGTATAATTCCAGCTGTTTTCTTAAGGTTATTAATGAATAAACTGGTTCGTGAACACAAAGGAACACAGCAGACAAGTCAGCAAACATGTTTTGCAGAAGTCTTCGGAGGGGGGAGATTGGTAGAATAATATTTCAAGCTTTAGGCTGCATCCTCTCAGAATGCTTTTCCAGTTTACTAAGCAAAGGATGAAAGGGAGGAGTTTAAACCTATGCAAAGCTGCAGGGAGCAATACTGTCAATCTGCAGCTGAAATTCACCCAGTTAGAGGAATACTACACCCAAAACATGATTAGCCTTCATTTTCTACTCACCCCCATGCTGAACAACACTCTGGAGTACTTTTTTGATATCTC